AGCCAGCTTGGGCTGCATAGTGAGTTCAAGGCTAGGCTGAACCACATAGCAGGACCCTGTCTCAAACCAAACCAAATCAAACCAGACCAGACCAGACCAGACCAGACCAGACCAAAATGAATCATCTATTGCATATACCTATTAGATGCCACTAGCATCCTTCATCTGTGAAAATTAAAAAATGTCTCCAGATATTGCCAGAAGTTCATAGGGGAGCAGTCACCTACAGCAGAGAAACACTGGTCTAAGCATAACACCTGCAACATTTTATGTTATTTGATATGTGTCCTTCAGACTATCAAATGATTCATCTTTTATTTATGTGTATCAATTATTTTCTTACCCGTTTAAGACTTTTAAAGCCTCATTTGTTTTTCATTTTTATTGTAATTATAGTTGTCTTCTTTTAGCACATTTATCCTTTCAAACAAATAAAAACTGAAATTACTAAGTAAAGCCTCTAATCTTAGCAGTCAGAACTGACTTGACAGTAAATTTGCAAGTTCAGTCTATGTGAGTGCATAAAGTTAAATGTTCATGAACTTTTCCTTGGATATTTCCTTTGTCTGGATTTCCAAATACCATATATAATTCCTGTAATCAACAAGCAGTATAAAATAAAAATGTAAATGTTAATTAGAACAAAAGGCATTTGTTTTGCATCTTAACCCAAATGAACATGGCTGCCTATTTTCCAGAAATCCAACTTTATGGCTTTTTCAGGATTGGTACTGCTATGGTTTCAGTATATGTGCCCCTCCAACACTCTTATGTTGGAACCTAATACCCAGTGGAATAACATTAAGAGTTCGAGGTCTTTAGGGAATGATTGACATGAGGACTTTGCTCTCATGAGAAGATTAGTGCTTTTCTAAGAGGAGGGAAAAGGTTTGGGGTTGTAGTTTTCTTTTCTTTCCAAGCTGACTAGAATCACAAATAATATCTAAAATAGAAATGAGTAATAGACATGTTTGGGTTGTTTCTGATTTTCAAAGGGAATGCCTTTAATATCTCCTCAGTAACAGGTCATTTGAGAGATACAAATTGAAACAATGCTGAGATTCCATCTCACTCCAGAAAGAATGGCTGCTATGAAGAAATAAACCAGTAACAAATGCTGAAAAAAATAACAAATGCTGGAGGGGCCGTGGGGAAAATGGAACCCTTCTCCATTGTTGGTGGGAGTGTAGCCTGGTGTAACCACTGTGGAAAGCAGTGTGGAGATTTTTCAAACAACTAAAACTAGAGATTCCTTTTGACCCAGCTATACCTCTTCTTGGTATCTTCCCAAAAGAATTAAAAGCATCCTATCACAGTGATATATGTGCACCCATGTTTATAGCATCACAGTTTGTAATAGCTAAATATTGGAAATAGCCCAAATGCCCATCAACTGACGAGTGGATAAAGAAGTGGGGTTTATTTATAAAATGGAGCATTACTCTGCCTTAAAGAAGGATGAGTTTCAGACATTCATAGCTAAATGGATGGACCTTGAGACCATAACTTTAAGTGAAATAAATTGGATACATATGTTTAAATACTGCATTGTTTTTCTCTGGTGTGAGAAACCCAATGTGGAAATAGGGCTGAGATATATACTGGATGTTGGGAAATGGGAAGAAAGTGTTCAAATGGGAAGGATAACAGGGAGGAAGGAGGGAGAAAGCCAGAAAGAGACAAGAAAAAAAGTGAAAATAGAACGAAAAAAATGGAAACAAAGTTTTTGTACATAGGGAGGGGAGGGGACTTAAGGGGGGGAATGGGATAAATTAAAATAAAATTTATAAAGAAAATGATGCTTTCTGTAGGCTTTGAGTAGCTGTCCTTTAGTAAGTAAAAAAAGTTCCCTTTAATTTTTTTCTGCACAAATGAGAGTTTAATTTTGTCAGATGGTTTTCCTTAATGATTGAAGTTATCCTATTATTATTTTTTGTTTGTTTGTTTGTTTTGGTGGTGATGGTGGTGGTACTGGGGATTGAACCTAAGGCCTTTGCACTAAGCTACATTCCCAGCCATCCCCCTCTTTTTTTTCTGAGACAGCATTCTCCCTAAGGTGCTAAGTTGCCCAGGCTGGCCTTGAACTTGTGATCCTCTTGCCTCAGCTTCCCAAGTGCTGGAAATACAGGCATGCACCATAGCTCTATTAAATATCTTTTGAAGTGACTTGCTATCATAGTCACAGTAGGCATTTTAGAAAGTAAGCATTGATACTTCTTTTTCAAATAGATATTATACAAAGATCTAGTAGTGTTATATAGTCATTTCTTGAATAAATATTTCACTCATTATGTTTATGTTTTATAGAATTATTCCTGTGTGCTTAATGTAATTTTAGTAGCTGACTTTCTCCCTCTAGATTCTGGCTTCAGTGACCCTCTCACTGGAGCACCATCTGAGTACTTGCAGAGACTTTCCAGAATGGCCATATTGGAGTATGATACCATTTGTCAGGAAACAACCACAAAATCAAAAAAAGGCAAGAAACAAGAGCTCCGAGACTGCTGATAAATGTCATTCAGTGTAACACTTTCTTCATTTGCTCTTAAGGTTCATATTTGCTTTTTTTCTTTTCTTTTTTTTTATGTGATATGATGTGCAGTGATTTACATAAAATGGAAATGTAAATAGGAAATAAATATTTTATGTTACATATGGAATAACTTTTATTTTTTTAACATTACAAAGATATAGTTAAATTACGGGAACATAGCATAGGAGAAATTATATTCCATGAATTTTATGTACTATTTATTTATTATTTTTATAGTTCTGGAGACTGAACCCAGGGTCTTTGCACTAGGTGCATACACAGACGTTTTATTTATTTATTTTTATTTTGAGGCAGGATCTTGCTAAGTTGCTAAGGTGCCCAAGCTAGACCTGAACTTGCTATTTTTCTTCAGCATCCCAGAATGCTGGGATTATGGATGTGTATCATCATCTCTGGCTTGATTATGTCTTTTTATTTAATTTGATAAACTTTTTTGAGTGCCTTTCTGTGTGTTACCAATCTTCTCCTACTTCTGAGCTCTTTTGATGAGGGTCACTAATTTTCTTCTACCTCTGGGCTTTTGTCCCGGGGATGATGAAGAATGAAGTTGAAAAAAAAACAATGAAGTTGAAAGACACAGTAGTGGGGGACACATTGAGTGTAGTTTATTAGAGAGAACAAAGAAAAGTGCTCTCCAGCTGAGAGGGGCTCCAAGGGAGGAGGGTGTGAAGGGCCTAAGTCCAGGAGTTTATATGTGGACTTTGGTGTGAATATGAAACAATGAAACAATGCAGTTGGCTTTTTCAGTAGGCCCCTGACATCAGGAGTGCAGACTTCCCCTGTACCCCAACTTCTCAGGGTTTGTCTAAGTTTACCAAGGGCCTTGCCCTAACTGCCTATTGTTTTTGTATCTTCTAGTCTTCTGTGCAATGAACTTTGCTAGTTGCTACAAAAGGTTCAGAGAAGAGTAATTCTTTATTGTTGGGGTTAGAAGGTCTTTTTTCCTGATTGAATTTAACCAGTTGTGAGATAAATATTCAGCCATATGAAAATGACAATGTTGGTTTGGTTTGCTTATAAAACCGAGAGGGGAGATCCTGCCTCAGATGTGTGGCAACAATGGGCCTCTCAGTATAGAACTTCAGAATCTGGCAAATGATCACACCCGAGAGTGCTGACCACCCTGGACTCACCTGCTACCTCAGGGCCTCTCCACTGTGTGGACAGGCAGATCCTTGAGATCAAGGGAGGATGGGGAAAGACTTCCACCATCTTCATGGAGAGGAGGAGGAAGGTCTAAGAATAAAGGAAAACCCCGCTCAAGAAAGCTGGAGGAATGGAGAGAAGTTTGTGTTTCTATACCTCCCTGAGAAATCAAGGGTTTCAGAGACTTGATTCTATAGAGTGGAGAATCACAGCATGGTACAGAGGTTTACTGGGGCAGTCTGGGAGGGTTTTATGGAAAACATGGTGTTTGAAATGGTCATTAGAAACAGGAAATATGGAAAGGCAGGGTATTTCTAGAAAGGTGGAAAAATATAAGCAAAGGTGTACTTTGCATTTGGGAATTATGCACTTGGATGCACAGTAGGTAGGGTAAAGCAGGCATCACAAATTCACATGCTGAATTAAAACAATGCTGAGATTTCATCTCACCCCAGAAAGAATGGCTGCTATCAAGAAATCAACCAAGGACTGGGGATTTAGCTCAGTGGTTCCGGCACTTGCCTCACAAGTGCAAGGTCCCAAGTTCAATCCCCGGTATATAAAAAAAAAAAATCAACCAATAACAAATGCTGGAGGTGCTGTGGGGAAAATGGAACCCTTCTCCACTATTGGTGGAAGTGTTGACTGGTGCAACCACTGTGGAAATCAGTGTGGAGGTTTCTCAAGGAACTAAAACTTGAGATTCCTTTTGAGCCAGCTATACCTCTTTTTGGTATCTTCCCGAAAGAATTAAAAGCTTCCTATCACAGCGATATATGTGCACACATTACAAAATGTGTTTATAGCATCACATTTTGTAATAGCTAAATCTTGGAAACAGCCCAAATGCCCTTTAACTGATGAGTGGATAAAGAAGATGTGTGGTGTTTTTTTTTTTTTTAAACAATGGAGTAGTACTACTCTGCCATAAAGAAGGATGAGTTTCAGACATTCATAGCTAAATGGATGGACCTTGAGACCATATTCTTAAGTGAAATAAATTGGACACATATGTTTAAATACAACATTGTTTCTCTAGTGTGAGAAACTAAATGTGGAAATAGGACTGAGATGTATAATGGATGTTGGGAAATGGGAAGAAAGTGTTCAAATGGGAAGGAGAACAAGGGAGGAGGAAGGGAGAAAGGAAGAAGGGACAAGAAAAAAGTAAAACTAGAAGAAAAAATGGAAACAAAGCTTTTGTACATAGGGAGGGGAGGGGGTTTGAGGGAGGAATGGGATAAAATAAAATTTATTAATAAAAAAAAGAAAGACCATGGAGGGACAATGAAGGGAAAGACAAGAAAGAAGGAAAAAAGGAGAATATTTTCTCGTTTTAAATGATGGTGCTAATCATTATCCAGACAGATTGTATGCCCATTTCTTCATCTATAAAAGGAATGAATTAATCTTTGCTGTTATTTCTATGAATTATGTTTACTGAGCTGTTACTGTAGGTGAAGTTAGAATATAAACTTAGAAAAAAAGATTAAAAAGTCAATTTGATGAAAAGAACTCCAACAAATTCACATGCTGGCAGGGACTGTGGTGGATTATCTAACTGTCAACTTGGAACGCCTAGCTGAACTGAGTCAGTGTGGTACTGAGCATGGAAGACCCACCTGAGAATTGTTGCCAATGGCATAAAAAGAGAACTGGTGGAGAAAATTTTATGCTGCTGATTTTCTTAAAGAAGCTTGCTGTGGCTGGCTTTCTTCATATGAACTCTGCTGTTCACATTGTCAGAGGAGCTCAGGTCTTCATCTCGAGCGTCACTTCCTAGCTCCAGTACAGATCTCTCAGCCTGGTGGCACAAATCCTTCACCCCATTGGCATAGACTTTCTAGCTTCCACCACTGGCCTTTGGGCCTTCCCGGTGAAGGTCCTTGATAGAGTTGCATGATACATTGCCTTAGGATCCAGGCCTTTAGCTGGACTTGTGCTGGACATTGCCATGTGATTCAGGCCCTTGGCTGAATTCTTTGGGTCTCTAGAGTGTGGGGAGATCTCTTGTATTCCTCTGCATTTGACTTTTTGGGTGAATACTATAAAATAACCCTGTAAATTATGTGTTCTATATTAAATCTATTCCCTTGGAAACCCTGACTACAATAGGGACCAAGCCAGCACCAGATTATGTGACTTTAATCAGATGAAGTCTGTGGCAAACTGGGACATGTTATCCCATTTGAAAGAGCTCTGGCTGCCTACCTTCAGCTTTTTGTGCCATGGAGTCTAATGTTGCCAGATAGTGCAACTTTTCATAAAAAGTGAGAATCTGATTTTTTGAAACCTTCCAACAACTAATTTAAAATAAGCAACTCACTCAAAATTTATAAAGCCACTGTGTACATCAAATAAAATTATATGTGCAAGCTAAATCTGGCTTTGTGGAACCATTCTTTACAACCCTGGAAACAAGGGCATAGAGAGGCCAGCCTGGCTCAAATGATAACTTGATATGTTATATGGTAGAGAGCCTCAGATGGCAAGCATGAGTTTATATTCAATCTGTTTTGCAATGGGAGATTTTGAGACTGAAAGTAAATTATTGCTTTTGTGATTTAGGAAGATTCACCTAGGTACATTAAGCAAGCTGGACTGTAATGGGAGGGGACTGGAGGTTGGGAAATCATTTAGGTTTTCATGGAAATCAGGGCAAGAATCTTTGAGTTGGGAGTAGAAGTAGGAATGGTAAGGAAAGACTGGATAATTAGGATATCAACGTAGAGGACTAAAGATGAATTGCATAAATATAGGATGTCAGGAAAGGAAGGATCAAAAGTAACTCAGATTTGCAATCTTAGCAATGAGAATCTCAGAGGTAGAGGTGCTGGTTTGGGAGGAGTGCAACTTTGGGCAAAGCCAGTTTAAGGTGTGATCAGGACATCCTCATAGAGATCCCAAACATGTATTTGAAATGTTGGTCTTTAATTCTGAGAAGATACTAAAGCTAGAACCTTGTGAAACATTTGCATAGCAAAGAGTGTTCTCCTGATAAAAAACTAGAGAGAGAAGTGAGCCCAAATCCATATAGGATGGGAGGAAATAGGAAGAAGACAAAAACAGGAGAAGAAAAAAGTAACCATCACAGATAAAAGAGAATGGGTATTTTCTAGGTCCTTCCATGCCTTGTATTTATTTACACAAATATACGTGCAGTTCCTAAGGGGTAACTAAATAAATTTAAATGGTTATATTTGTGCTTACATATGAATATTTCTTTCTTTTTTTTCTTTTTTTTTTGAGACAGGGTCTCACTATGTGGTTCAGCCTGGACTTGAACTCACTATTTAGCCCAGGCTGGCCTCGAACTCAAGGTGATCCTCCTGCCTCAACTTCAAGAGTGCTGGGATTACAGGTGTGCACCACCACGCCCAGCTCCTACATATGAATTTTGATTGAGAATGACTTAGATATTGCATTTACGTTTTCTGTCTTCTGATTACTCCTCCAAATGTATTCAATGATTTAACAAATAAGATGCAAGAGAAAAGTCACTCTCAAGCAAAAATTTGGTGAACTCTTTTGGGTGAACATTTCTAAACACTTGATTATCAGGTGGATTTCATTTGTCAAATTCCTACTGTGTACTGTAAACATTTACTATTATTTATTAACTGTCTGAAAATCCTAAAAAATAGGTAGGATGATATTATTCCTCTTTTATAAATGAAGTAAACTGATGGTCTTTATTTTACACTAGGTCTCTAGCTAGAAAGGGAGAACCAGGATTCTGACCTACTAGGATTCAAAGTTCATATACATAAACCACATGGAATGAGTCTTTTTTTTGAGACAGGGTCTTGCTGTGTAGTTCAGGGCCTTGAGCTCACTATGTCACCCAGGCTGGCCTCAAACCCACAGCGATCTTCCTGTCTCAGCCTCCTGAGTGCTGGGATTACAGGCATGTGCCACCAGGCCTGGCTTGCAATGATAGTCTTAAAAACCTTAAATTTAGTTGACAAATATAACCAGGGTATACATTTAGGGCATGATAGTACTGCCTCAGACATATCTCTCAATATTGAGTTGTGTTTTGGAGTTATGACATTAACACACATTGGAGCATTTATACTAGTGGAGTGGAAAGCTGGTTTGTTTACATGGATAATTATGTCTGCCTCCCACTTCATTTCCCCTAGAAAGAATTCAACTCAAGCCAATTTGAGAAAGGAGTGGAATGTTTATATGGAATTTTTAAAAATAAATGAGATATACTGACAATAGATAATCGCCTTTTCAACCTTGAGGTTGAATCTGTCTGTCCGTCTGCCTATCTATATCTATCTATCTATCTTTTTATGAACTTATTTGGTTTTTGAGACAGGGTTTTGCTATGTAGTTCAGGCTGGCTTTGAACTCACTACATAGTTCCCACTATGTGGCCTCCAACTCCTGGTGATCCTCCTGTTCTCAGCCTCCCGATAGAAAGTTTTTTTACTTTTGGTGCTGGAGATTGAACCCAAGGTAGGCAAATGCTATACCATGAAGCTATATCCCCAAGCTAGAACTGTTCTTAATTACAAAAGTAGTATTTTTGGAAAATAATAAGTATTTTTTAAGAATTTTAGCAATGTAGGAAAAGTATAAAAACAAGGTTTAAAAAGCACCTAAAATCTCATCACTCATAAATAACATCAGGTGAACAATTTTCTTTGCCCTGTGTATGGAGATAAAAACATTTACTAAAATGCCATGATTCTAGGTTATCCTACTTCATTTTTAATCCAATAAAAGAAAAAGAAACTTATATGAAACTGAGGATATGGTTTACATTCAATAAATAATTTATTATAAATCTATATTTGGTCCATCTTTAGGGTTAACTAATCCCCATGGGAATGGGTGTTGCAGAGAGATGCTAGGGGTGGATGCAAGAGGGCTGCACCAAGGGGAGCAGATAAGTCCTCGACTCTTTCTAACCCCCTTTCTACCTCGTGCTAGTGTCTCCTACCAGCCAAACCCAGTTAATAATGAAGCCGAGGTAATAAATTCCAGAGGAAGCAGCTTTCGGGGAGCACAGAGCTGGATGAATAGAGAACAGGTCTGGGGCAAGAAGCTGGAGAATAATTGGCAAAGACCACAAGTTGAAGAGTCCAGGGATTAGAATCAAAGGCCAAGCGAGTGGGGCTGGGGGCATGGATGAAATGCTTCTCTGCTCTACCTTCAGGCTTTTCTACTGACCAAGACTGAGGCTGACCTAAAGTTAGCATAGAACTGTGAGCTGGGTCCCTGATGTGAGAATTGGAGGTGAAGCTTGGGGAAAATATCCCCCGGCGGGAAGACTGGAGGTACTGCAGGGAAAGGAGGCATGGAAGAGGAGGGCAGAAAGCCCAAGCAAGCAAGAAATCAACAAACTCCTTGCAGAATTCAGAGGCCATTCGACTTTGCCTCTATCCTCAGCAGGTTTGCTGTTTTTGTTTGATTCCTGCTGACAGAGATAGGAAGGAAGACGTGATTTATATCTATATGTTCCCCAAGAGCCTCATGAACTCATAGGTGGGGTTTTTGGAAAGTGACTGAATTATGGGGATGCTATAGTTGACTTGCTGTTAGGAAGTGGGGTCTAGTCCCAGTAGGAGGATCCCTGAAGGAGTGACCTGGAGGGATGTACCTTCTTCACAGTTCCTAACTTGTTCTTTGCTTCTGGGTTACCAAAATAAGAGAAGCGTTTTCTCCACCATGCCCCTCTGCCATGCTGTTTCCTACCTTGGAGACAGCTGACCATGAACTGTAACCAGGAGCTAAACTAAATATCCCCTCCTTTAAGTTGCAGGTGGCAGGTATTTTGTTCCAGTGAGGAGGAAAATGACTAAGACAGAAGATCTTCCTTCCTGCAGCCCTTGAACAAATGAAATTGAATATGCTCACAGCATGAGCAATCTGTGAGAAGCAAAAAGAAGGAATGGGGAGAAAAGCAAACCTTTAAAGTGAAGGAGTTGGAGTGAATGGGGAAAACTACTGCATGGAGGGCCTGCCGTCATAATACATCATGAGAAAAAGCCGTGACAGTGTCTGATAACCAACACCCAAGGAATTCAAATGATGGGTGACTCCCATATTTTTCCCATACAGTCAGCCTTAATTAGGTATTCAAGAGTCCTCTCTTCCAGGTGTCCTCCTTTTGTTTTGTGATTCTGGGTGCTGAACCCAGAGTCTTGTGCACACTAGGCAAGCACTCTACCACTGACCTACACCCCTGTTACTGGTGGGAAGTGGTAGCTGTTATGGTTTGGATATGAAATATCTCTCACAGGCTCATGTGTTGGGGGCTTGGTCCCCAATGCAGCAATGTTGAGGGGTGGGCTTGGGGGAAGTGATTGTATCATGAAGGGTGTAATCTCATCAGTGGGCTAATCCATTCATGGGTTCAGGATTGAATGTGCTATTGAGAGGTGGTGAAAATGAGGAGGTAGGGCCTGGTTGGAGGAAGTAGGTCACTGGGGGTGTAACCTGGAAAGCCACTTCTTGTGTTCAGCCTGTCTCTCTGTCTCTGTCTGTCCCTCTCTTCTTCCTGCCCACCATGACAGGAGCTGCTTTGCTCTATCACATGCTTTCCACCATGATGTTCAGCCTCACCACAGGCCCAGAAGCAATGCATCCAAGTGAGCATGAACTAAAACTTAAAACTGTGAGCCAAAATAAATCCTTCCTCTTTTAAAATTGATTTTCTCTGGTATTTTGTCACAGTGATAGAAAGCTGTTTGATATAAATTCCAACCCTTTGAATTGTTTTATTCCTCTAGACTCTCTGCTCTCCAACCTTGTCTTGGATCTGTCTTGGAAGTCAAAGCTCTGGAGATTATTTTCCCCAAAAGATGAGAAAGTGGTAGTGGCAAGTAGTCCTCCTCCTTAGGCTTGCTCTTTTGCATTTTTCATAGTGGAGCACCTGCAAGACAAACATACTTGGTCTTGGTAAATGTGGTCACTTCCATGGCGTTGCTCTGATGTGTTATTCAAGTGAAGCTCCCTGCCCACCATGGATGATGCCAGGAAGGAAGAAGAGGGAGATGAAAAGTCTTATACTTTTTTGATAAAAATAGTAATAATTATTACTTAATAACTATTAAGTAGTGGATTATATTGAGTGGCTACTTTATGTCAGGTACACATTAGATACTGTCATGGTTTGAGGTGGCTTTTTCAAGAGGTATGTTTGTGTCTTAATCCGTAGGACCTGTGAATGTGACCTTATTTGGAAAAAGGGTTTTTGCAGATGCCATTAAATTAGGATCCTGAGATGAGATCATCATGGATAATGTAGGTGGGCCCTAAATCCAGCAATAAGTTTTTGTAAAAGATAAAGGGACACAGAAAAAGAGGAGACCAGGTGAACACAGGAGCCGAGATTGAAGCTATGCCTTTGCACAGCTGACAATCACCTGGAACCACCAGAAGCTGGGAGAGGCAAGGAGTGACTCCCTGATTGCCTGTGGAGAGAGTATGGGCCTGCATTTCAGCTGCTAGCCTCTGGAACTTCTAGAGTTAAGTCCCTGCTGGTTTTTTTTTTTCCTGCTTTCTCTGACAAGTAACTACACTTTATTTTTATTTTTTTGCATAAATTCTTTTATTAGTACATTTTAAGTATACAATATGTTTACATTTATCATTGGGTGCTTGTACCTGTACATGATGTATCTTGGTTCTTAATTTTTCCCCATTACCTGTGCACCCTTCCCCCGCACCTGTCCCTATTTACACAGACTTTGTTTCAATTTTTTCCTTTTCTCATAATTTTTCCTTTCCCTTCTTACCTTTCCCCTTCCCCTCCCTCTTCCTGTACCTGTTTGGAACTTTTCTTCCTATTTCAAATTATCAATTATTCATTTAATCATTTTAATCCTTATTTACACTTTCAGTTTCTCACACTAGAGAAACTATTTGGTATTTACACGTGTGTCCTATTTATTTCACTTAAGAGCATGTCCTCAATATGCATCAATTTAGCTATAAATGTCTCTAGTTTCTCATTCTTTACGGCTGAGTAGTACTCTATTTTATAAAAAAAAACCCCACATCTTCTTTATCCAGTTTCCAGATGATGGGCACTTGGGTTGTTTCCAAGCTTTAGCTATTACAAACTGTGCTGCTATGAACATGGGTGCACATATATCACTGTGGTATGATTCTTTTAATTCTTTTGGGAAGATACCCAGCAGGGGAATAGCCAGGTCAAATGGAACCTCTAGCCCTAGTTCTTTGAGGGATCTCCATACTGATTTCTACAGTGGATGTACCACTCTGCATTCCCACCAACAATGGAGAAGGGTTCCTTTCTCCCCACTCCCCTGCCAGCATTTGTTATTGGTTGATTTCTTGATAGCAGCCATTCTTTCTGGGGCGAGGTGGAATCTCAGTGTTGTTTTCATCTGCGTCTCTCAAATGACCAGTGATGTTGAACATTTTGTCATATGTTTATTTGCTATTCCTACTTCTTTATCTGAGAAATGTCTGTTCATGTCAGATGCCCATTTTTGAACTGGGTCTTTGAATTTGGAGGGTCTGATTTTTTTCAGTTCTTTACATATTCTAGATGCTAGTCCTTTGTCTGAGGTACAGGTGCTAAAATTTTTTTCCCACATTGTAGGCTGTCTCTTAGCTCTGATGGTGGTTTCTCTTGCAGTGCAGAAGCTTTTTAATGAGATCCCAGTTGTTGATTCTTTGTGCTAGTTCCCGTGCTACTGAAACTTCTAGGCTTAATTGACAGATTCAGTAGAGTAGTTGGATACAAGGTCAACACTCAAATACAATAGCCTTCTTGTACACAGATAACAGACTCACTGAAAGAGAAATTGGAGAAACAATTCCTTTTATAATAGCATCCAAAAAATTGAAATATCTAGGAATCAATCTAACAAAGGAAGCAAAAGTCCCTGCTGTTTTAAGCCACCTAATTTGTGTTTGTTTGCTTTGGCAGCTCTAGAATTTAAAACTAATGTTTTACACGCATTATTTCTAATCCACACTACAATTGGTAAAGTGAAGGGATTATTTTCCCATCTTACAGACAAAGAACTTGCAATTTATTAACTTACTCAAGTTCCCACAGCCAGTAAGTTGCAGAGCCAGGGTTTGAAACGACCTGTGGGAATCCCTGGTGCAAGCCTCTGATCACAGTACAGTCCTGTTTGGATAAAAGAGGGCTCTTGTTGTTCAGAAAGTGCTCTTCTGTGTTCCTGGCTCTTGGCAGGTTCCTGCTCGCCCTATTCAGATCCACTCATTTTGTGACATTTAGTTGATGGGCCACTTGTGTTGAGCCCTAGATTAAGGCTGTAATTACAAAATTGATTTTCATGATTTCTGTGTCCTACGGAGTGCTTTAAGCTTCGGGGAGGGAGAGTCTTGCTTTTACGAAATATTGTGAACCCTTAAGTAATAGTTTAAAATTTTAGGACCTAGCAACTGTGCGTTTATGGATTTGAAAACACTTTCACTCACATTTTAGCTTTTTTTTTTTTTTGGTGGTGCTGCAGTAAGATACTTGGTAATGGTTAATTTATAAACAGTAGAAATTGACTTCTTCCAATTCTGGAGGGTAAGGAGTCCAATATCAAAGTACTGGCAGGTCTGGCATCTGGTTAAGGCCTGGTCTCCACTTCCAAGACAATGCCCAAACACTGCATATTCCAGAGGGGAGGCTCATGGATTCTTGCAGGGGGAGTGGTGGAAAGGTGAAAGAACAAGCTCTCTCAAGGGCACCTAATACCATTGGCAGGGGAGGCGCCCTCATGGCCTCATCACCTCTGACTACTGTCACGTTGGCAACACCTGGATTTTGGAGAGGACACATTCAAAAAATGGCATGCACAAGATTTCATTTGAGCCTTGAAAGCTGTACATAGTTATCCATGGATGTACCATGAATGATTTTATAGGAATGATTTGACAGTTCCTAAGTTAAGTGGATCCCTTATTGTCACATTTTCTGAGAGAAAGCATGTCACAGCACAGTGTCATGGTGAACCTTTATAAACTTCCTTGTGTTTGTTGTAGACTCCTATAACCAGCTATATAATCTCAAGTGCCTAACACGTCTCTGGTTTTTCTATCTGAATTTTTCTGCATTTGCAAAGAAGGGGACTGCCACTGGAATTATGAAGAGCTGGCTGCTCTTTGAATGGGCTTGGGCTGTTGGATCAATGACTGATGTCAGCAACAGCCTCAAGTCAGAAGAAGACAGAGCTAAGACCTGCTTTAGAATAAATATTTGTGATTCCTTCAGCAGTTCTTGCTTCTTAATGTATGGCCTTTTTCAAAATGCTTACAGTCTCTGTACTGATTGATGCTTCTGTTTAAAGAAGTCTAGAAGCTGCCATCAGTACCTGGTGATCCCACCAGAGGATTAAGTTAAACACAGAAAATGAATGTGTTCACTGTCATAGACACAATTTACAGTTCTTGGAATACAAGTGCATACCTACAAAACGTGGGTATGTGAAAAGAGGAATGCTTTTTGATTCATTGAGAGTGTTTGGTTTGTGCCGTGTTTTTATCCGAAACTAAAGAGACATTAGTCTTTAATTTTCCTAAAACTATACAAACCTGAATATAATCTGAGATAATGTGTGCATAAAAAGAGACAAAAAAAATCTACCTTCCAATAACTAGATCTTGGTGAAATAATATCTGAGTGTCCTTATCCTAAAACTGATTCCTTCTGGTGTAGTGAGAGGATTTAAAGTCTAGCCTTACAGAGTGTTGTTTTGATGACAGCAATAAAGAAGATAAAAGAAAAGTCCCCTTTGGTTCATAGCAAGCTAACTTCATTTAACATAAATACATTTTTAATTTTTTATTAGTGCATGTTTGCAGTACATAATGATTATAATTATCATGGGGAGTTGGTACATATACATAATACATCTTAATTTTTTTCATCCCCTGGCCTTCCCCTCCATCCTGTTCCTTTTAACTCTTGGTCCCCTTTCCATTTGCAAAAACTTATTTTCATCATCCCCCCCTTCAATTCTTTTTTTTTTCCATCCCCTTCCCTCCTTTTCCCCCTCTATTTTTTCCCCCTTCCATTTGAAAAAGATTTCCATACTTCTGTTTTGCTATTTTCTATTTTGTTTTCTCTCTCTCTCTCCATATATATATATATATATATATATATATATATATGCACACACACATATATATTTATATATAAATACATTTCAGCACATCAAATATATTAAAATATGATTTACTAATTAGAAGATTTGGTGCATACACTTGAAACTGTTCTGACAACTATCCCCTCCCCACACCTACAGATCATACATTATGGTTTAGCTCTAGAATGTCCTCCAGAAGCCTCTTGTGTTCAGAGGTGGTGTTTTTGGACAGTGATTAGATGTGAGGGAGGAACACAATAGCTGACTTGCTATTAGGAGGCGCGGGCTGTTGGAGGTGGGTCACTTGGGGCATGACCCAGAGCGGCATATTCCTGTCTCCGGCTCCGCCCTTGGCTCGTGCTTCCTGGCTGCCACAACATGAGCAGCTTTTCTGTGCCAGACCTTTCCATCACACCCCTCCTGCTTTGGAGCAGCGATCCACGGACTGAAAATGTGAGCCAAATAAATCTTTCCTCCTGTAAATTGCGGGTGTCAGGTACTATGTCTCAATGATGAGGAAAGTTTCTATAATATTAAAAAATTATTGCGGTAAAGAATATAAAACATAAACTTTACCATTGTAACCATTTTCAAGTGCACAACTCCATGACGTTAAATACATCCACATCTACCATCTTGACTTCTCTTGGTGCTTTGTTTAGGGTTGACTTCTTTCCTTCTCTCTTAGTTTACTTATTTTCTTCTTCTTGGCTTCATTCTTGCAATTCCAACACATAGGTAAAAACATTTTGAAGTTTTGTATAAAAGGGGAAAAAAAAGAATGGTCCATCTA